CACAACAGAAACCTGTGCGTGATGGAGTTTTAAGTGGAACAGCTGCTGCCCAGGGGCAGTCCCATTCTCTCAACATAAGAGACCATAATCCAATGGCATGGAGAACCATTATGGCTGGAAATCTCTCCTGCTGCAGTGGATGACCAGGACATCTAAGCGTCTTCTTATGCTCTTAGTGTTCCACAACACCTGCTGGGCCTGCCTTCTTGACTGTTGGATCGTCGATCAGTCTCCTCTACCCAATCTGCCAGGGCCAGACTTCACACACTGGGATAGACAAATCCCCTATCTCACTGAGAATCAAAGACCCATTGGCTACCCTCAGCTGGTTTGGCCCATCTGCTGAGATGGTTTACCAGGGTGTGGCTGCTGTGTGTGTTACAGCTACTTGGAGCCACAGGTGAGAGCTGAGTGCCAGGTGGGGACCAAAGATGAATGAGCAGCCCTAGAAAAGGAACAGCAGGCCCTCTACCAGAGGTGCTACCCTTTCCTGGACACCCTATACACCCCTATACTACGCATACATAGCACAAAACATCATGGAATAGTTTATTGCAAACTGAGTATGAGCCAGTAGTATAGGTAGCTGTACAAAAGACAAATGCAATTTCAGGCTGCATCTATAGGAGTATAATTTCCAAATCAAGGGAAGCTATTGTTCTTCTTTATTCTGCTTTGGTCAAATCCCACCTTGATTTCTGCGTTCAGTTCTGAGTATCATCCTTTTAAAAACAAGTTATAGACATTGGAATAGAGAGGGGCAACAAGAGTGATTAGGGGACTAAAGATTAAATCCTTTGAAAAGGCATTGAAAGAGCTGGATATGTTTAGCATTGAGAAAAGACAACTGAGGGAAAATACAGTATGTTGTCATTGTTCTTTTGACTTTTGTGATCAGATGGACTTTGTCAGGATTGATGGTCAGGAATTGCTTTTTTGTTTTCTTGCAACCTCATATTTGTGTCATCAGTTGTGGTATCTAGAAATCTTTTCTTCTGTCGATCTCTTTTTCAGTTGCTTTCATTTTTCTAAGCATCAGTCTTCTCCAGTGGATTTTGCTTTTACATTATATGTCCAAAATATTTAAGCATTAATTCCTTATTAGTGCTTCCATTGAGAAGCTTGGTTTTACTTTACTTAGTATTAATGATTTGTTCTTGTGGTCCAAGGTATTCTCGACAATTTTCTCCAGCACCAGAATTCAATGGCATTGTTTTTTCTTTGTTCAGCCTTTCAATGCCATTTATTACAACTGGGAAAACCATGGCCTTATGTAGCTCTGTTGTCAGTATGATGTCTCTGCACTTTAATATTCTGTCTAGATTTGCTTTCTCCCAAGTAGCAGACATGAGGCATATGACAGCACTCTTCAAATACCTGAAAGGATGTCATAGAGAAGGTAAGTTACCTGCTATCTCTTCTTCCAGAATGCAGCACACAGAACAACAGATGTAAGGTAAGATTCTGATTAAGTTAGAAAAATTTAACAGTAGAACCAGTTACCCAGAGAGATGGTAAACTTCTCTTCACAGATTCTGCTTAAGCAGAGGCTAAACAACCATTCTTTAGAGATGTTTTAACTTTTGCACTGAACAGAGTTGGACTTGATGGTCTAAACTGCCCCTTCCAACTCTATGGTTCTAACTTATTAATGCCTTGAGTGCCCATCTCAGCAGTAAATTAAAGTATAAAACAGAACTCAGTAAAAAGAAATAACACCTTTCTCTTACTGTACCCAAGAGTATATTTGCCTGCCAGTTTAGGATATCATTCCATATATCTGATGTAGTTGTCTCTTGTTTATATATGAAATATATATGCAATGAATTGTTTAAGGTACCACAAAATTTGCTACTGGGATTGCCTAGCTTGGATCTCCTAATTTATATTATTTCATTAGCAACTCTGATTAGAGTTGCTAAATCAATGGTAAGCACCCGAGGCAGTCATTTTCATAATGAGGAAGATCTTTAAACACTCTCTTGTGACTAAGCGGTTTAATAGTAGTAAAAAGGCTAATAGTAAAGGGAGTCTCTTAATTCATAAGTTATTCTGAAAGCTAATTTCAGGAGGGGGTTCAAACAGTATTTTTTCCAAAATGTTATCTGTTACAGAAATTTCATCTATGTGAACATTACACCAGAGTTGTAGTAAAAGCTTTACTGTGAAAACTTTTGCATACTATACAATCTGTGTTGACATGCAATCCCAAGAACAAAGTATTTGCTTGTTATGTTGGTCTAGAATCATTTGGCAGCAGTATCTGCCTCAGTCAACAGAACAATCCTGAAAAAAACGATTTAGGTGTTAGTCTTGGGAATCTTCTAAAATTAGAGAATTGAACTTCATTTGGGGAATGTCTTTATTTGTGCTTTGAATTTATTATCTGCATAATGATATGACTGGGACTGTTTCTCTCCCACTCTTCCCAAAATATAAACATCTCTTTCTGTCCTAAGCATGTTGCAGCATGTTTAGGAGATATGGAGCCAACTATGTTTTTCTCTGGTGCTTTCCTGGCATTTCCTTTCCCCCCCATCTCTTGTAACACATTCCAGGCAGCTTTCTATAGCAAATTAACCAGGTGTGTAGTAATTCCAGGATAAATTCTTGGTAGCTGGTGGCAGAAACTTTAAAGCTGTACACTTCTAGTAGAGGACTGACAAGTTTACTCGGAACCTTGTCCTAGACCTTTAAAACTAGTCTATTATTTTTTGAGTAGTTGTTCATCTTTTACTTTGCTTTTTGTATCTTAATTCTTGTGCAATTTCTCTTTAAATAATCTATCAAAGCTTATGCAATTTTTTAAAAAAGAAGACACTATTCTATTGCCATAACCACTGACACAGCTGGTTTCTGTATGTGGAACAAAGGGAGGAAGGGAGTAACACTTTAAGACTCTGAAATGCTCAGAAGCATAATATTATTTGACTTCCCACTTCTTTTACATCTAGGATACCCTTGAACTCCGTTCTTTTTTGTCCACTAAACCAGGAGTGAAAAAAGAGCAAATGGGTGTGCAGCTCCACGGTCGAATGGGGACTTAAAACTTGGTCTTTCTGATACGGTGTAAGTCCAACAGCTTACTCATATTTGTTGTTGTTGTTGTTTAGTCGTTAGTTGTTGTTAGAGTCGTGTCCGACTCTTCATGACCCCATGAACCATATTGCGCCAGGCCTTCCTGTCCTTCA